AGATGTACCACATGTTTCTAATCCATTCATCTACTGATGGTCACTTAGGCTGTTTCCAGATCTTAGCTATGGTGAATTGTGCTGCTATGAACATAGGGGTGCATATATCCTTCCTGATTCGTGTTTCTGATTTGTTGATATATAGTCCTAGAAGTGGGATGACTGGGTCAAATGGAAGTTCCATTTTTAGTTTTTTGAGGAAACGCCATACCTTTCTCCACAGTGGCTGCACCAGTCTGCATTCCCACCAGCAGTGAACGAAGGTTCCTTTTTCTCCGCATCCTCGCCAGCACTTATTGTATGTTGATTTGTCAGGAGGTGATTTCTGCAGTTTTAAGAGAAGGGAGTAATAATATTATTACTAATATTAAAAATAGTAATGGTACGTAACTGTTGAGTGCTTTCTTTCTGCTTGTTTCTTTTCATAAACCACAGAATTTATTCCTCATATCAACCTTATGAGGTCGGTCCTTTTAGTATCATAATTTTACAGATGCAGAAACTAAGGCTCAGAGGTGTTCAGTCCCTTGCTTAGGATCACACAGTGGCTACACGTCAGGGTCCAGATTTTGATCTAAATCTGGTTTGATTTCAGAGTCAGAGTTGCTGTTTATTTTATTGTCAAGAGTGCAGGAAATCAGTTATAAAAACTATGAAACACTGCTCTGTTTATTCTTAGGAGGATTATTAGGATTAGATAGGAATATGTGCAGAAGATGGGAAAGAAAAACAAAAACTAGAAAAGTCATTGGGTGGAGATACCCACAGTCACTATATTCAGGTAATGCAGCGTCCACCCTGTGTCCCCAGCTATTCAGGCACAATGCACCTCTGGGTGCCACTGCCCTTGATCGAGAGGGTTTCTCACCAGAGCAAATCTGCCACCAAACAGGACAAGAATGAAGGGCGTACCCCCGTTCTAAGCCAAGAAAATGGAAAGCATCATTTAATGAGCACCTACTGTATGCCAAGCATTTTCCCATGTCAGCTGTCATTGTGCTGAGTTCTGAATTGTACAGCAAGAAAAATGGTTTTTTGGCTTCCCGGGGTGGGGTGGGGTCATCTCATTTGTTACCTGAAATGACTCATGCTTGCCAAAGGGTGTGGAAGCTGTCTCTCAGGGAGCAGGTAAGGACAGGCCCGGAGCCAGGTCACTGCTTCAGGCTTAGGCTCTGAGGACAAGGGGTAGGAATGGGAAAAGAAAAAGGCCAATTCATTCTAGTTGGATGCCGAACAGGCTTTCAGGGGGGAGGGAAATATATTCCACCCAGAACGTGACTCAAATATCTGGAGGCCTCTGTTAGGTAGGCCCATAATGCTCTGGCCCTGCCAAATTAGGGAACCGGGTGCTGAGCCTGTCAGCATTCCTGGGGGGGTGGGGAGCAGGGGGGGGGTGGCAGGCCAACAAAGGTAACCTAAGAACCTAGCTGAGTAACCACAGTCCTGGCCAGGAGCACCCCCTGGGCCCCCTTGCAGGTGCTGTATTTTTCCATTCTGGGAAACTTTTGAAACTCAGGTGACTCACTGGCTCTCTCATTTGCCCCAACGATGAACAAGTGTTGTTCCTCTTCGCCCAACCTGAGCCCGGTCTCCTCCCGCCTCTCCCTTTTGCAAGCTCAACCTGAGCCTGGTCATACCTGGCCACATCCACCTCCAGGTGATCCTGGGGTCAGCTTACCTGAGGCTCCTGACCTTCATTATTCTTTCTTAAAAAAAAAAAAAGGTGTTTTTAAAATTGATTTGAGAGAGAGAGAAAGGGAGAGGGAGGGAGAGAGAGGAGACATGCAGTTTATGATTATTACAATAGCCTTAACACCTGTACTCACAATTGTAAACCTACTTTGCCCACCTGTACATCTATCTATTTTACTCATTTAATTGTCTGTCTTCCCCATTATAAGTAAAACTCCACCAAAGATTGTCTATTTGTTTATTGATGCATCCTTCGTGTCTACAACAGAGCATGCCACACAGCAGGCACTCAATAACTGTATGTATGAATAAACCCACGGATAAAAAAGGAAGATAATAATATCCACCTCCTAGGAAGGTACGAGGGTTGTTAGGAGTGTTAAAGAGAGAATATATTTGAAGTGCTTGCCATGCATACTGGCTGAGTTACTTTTCCTCTCCAGCTCTATTGAAGTATAATCGACTGGATTACTATTCATCTAAGAAGCTTCCTAGTTGGCTGAGCCCCGAGAAAGGCGTGAAGGGATCTGGAACTCATTCTCCCGGAGGATTTCCTGGTCCCCCAACAATGAATCAAAGACAAGTCCAACTGGTCCTTCAGCACCGAGGATAAATAGGATAAGCAGGAGCGGCGGAGCCCTGACTTTCACCGAGTTTCTCCCTTCCTGTCCTCACGCCCCAGGAGGCGACTCGGAAGGGATTTCAACAGCAACAGCCGCCTTTAGCGAGGCCGACTCCACAGTCAAAAAGGAGAGGAAGTTTCTCCGAACAGGCAATTCTCCGAACAGGGGTGCGAGGTAGCACCGCTTTCCGCGCAGGTGCGTTCGGTCGCCACCCATCGCGATAGACGAGAGAGATCGGCACTGGCCCTTTAACAGCCCCTTCCTGGAGGCCTGCCCCGCGCGTGCGCACTGTGGTTCTGCGCTTGTCATCATGGCGACACGGGGCCATGTGCAGGACCCTAACGACAGGCGCCTCCGGCCCATTTACGGTGAGTGCCTGTGGCCAGCCCGGCCGCCGCCCGGAAGCGCCGAGCGCTGCCGAGGGCTACCGAGACCGGG